GCAATGCGTTTCAAAATTGAAATGAAAAGCTTCTCCCGCAATTATAGCCATTCTGTAACTAAACTCCACTGTTTCCCTGCTCCCTCTAGACCTACTTATTTTAAAACAGAAAAAATACTACTGTTTCCCCAACATGTCCCTTGTTGGGTAACCTGGGTTTGTACTACGCACTGTTTCACACTCTGGGATTACTCTGGACTGTGGGATGTAGGACACATTAGGTCATACTGTACACTGCTGTCTTTGAAAGACATGTTGAAAGCTGGAGTTTAAGAGAGGCTAAACCTCATCATTAGTTAGCCAGGACCTGTTGGTTGCTAAGAGCAATACAGGTAAGTAGAGAAGCTGACCCAAGAGAGGAATGCAAGTGATGGCTCAGTTGTTAAAATGCATGCTGTACAAATATGGGGAGCTGAGTTTGTGTCTCTCATATGCATGCAAACACCAGGCACAGCCACATCTGTGACCCCAGGACCTGGAGTAAGTCAGGGAGACAAGCGTCTCCCTGGAGCTAACTGGCTGACCTCTCTAACCAAACTGATAAGCTCCAGGGTGAGTGGGAGGCCCTGTCTCAAAAAATAATGTATAGATATGAAGGAGAAAAATACCTGATGTCTACCTCTGGCTTTGCACGTGTGTGTGTGCACGCACATACACACACACACACACACAGATGGCCCCAGAGAAAACCCAGCACCTGCATACTGGGAATTGTGTTCTACCAGCTGAGCAGGTATCAGGAAACCTCAAAATGCCTTCCAACACTAAGACAGGATCCTCAGAATTTTTTAAAGGATGAGCTGTGGACTATAAACTTAGGACAGGATGTTTTCTTGTGTCTAGTCATTTCCCTGAATGAAAAACATGAAGACATTTCCCCTATGCAGGCTTAGATGAAGTAAACCTCACCTGAACTTGACCCAGCTCAGTGATGAATAAATGACATCCTTTAATCCCACAAATCACATGACCCAGCACTACGGTGGGGGCCAGGAGTCTGCTCCTGCCCTGAGGTTTGTAAGCTTAAACTGATTTCCCAGGGCCAAAGAAGTCTATGAGAAGCAACTACTTTTTACTTTAAACAGTGCACAGACTTATGAATCACAGTTGCCACAGGTCAGCCAGAGTGACCTAGGGACTGCCCAAACCCAATGTTCCCAAAGGGTGTGTGGATTCTACAAACCTTGCAAGAAGTTTCAATCCAAGTCATGTCAACAACTGTTCGGCCCCCAATACTTTTCTTTTGTGAGTCAGTGTTTACCAGATGTGAGACACAGTGCCATTGCCCCCCACTCCCCATGTGCAGCAGAGACCCTCCTCACTCCTCAACTTCCATCTTGGATTTAAACTTGACCGTGCCTTTCCCTAGAGCACATGAGATAAGGGTCGGGAAATCAGCAAATGTCTCTACCATTAATCACTTTCCACAGATATGTTTCTCTCTGGCCTTCGGGCATTATCTCAACATGGGAGGAACTTGAAACTGCCATTGGAGGCACGGACATAAAACTGGCAAGGGAGGACTCAAAACACACTTGAGAGACTGACTCACATACACAGTGTGACAGGATACATGTGTCTCCCTCAGTAAGACGTTACCAGGCCTAGAGTTCAAAGCAAGGTCATCTCATCGACAGGTATGTTGCCATCTCTTCCCCGCAAATAAGTAACTTGATTAGTTGTGGGATCTCATAAGATGTCTCTGACGCCACTACACAGGTAGACCACTATGGATTTCAGGAAAGCCAGTGATACATTCTGGGTTAATGACATCCATTTTGATAGAAATGGAACAGCTGTCTTAGAGGACAAATTAGTGAAATCTTACAGAATTTAAATATGTACCTCCAGATAGCCCACACATGAGTATCTCACTCATGAGTTTTTTACCCCCTCACAAAAGACCCACTCAAAAATACATATGATAGCATGATTCATGGTTGCCCCAAACTACAAACTGTTCAAATATCCAGCTTGTGAAGGGAAGTCTGATTGTGACAGATTCCTACAATGCAGTGCCCCTTGACCACCAACAGGGATCTACTACTAACTCATGAGGACATGAACTAGTCTCAAAAGTCAAACAGTGAATAAAAGAAGCCAGGCACAAAAGATGACATGCTGTTTGGTGTCATTGAAATTCTATAAAAGACAAAGCTGTAGTGACAGAAAACAGGTCTTGGATTGCTGTGGCCACGGAGAAGGGAGGGATGACAAATCTATCTGGTCAGTGAACTTGTGTGGAGTGGTAGGACTCTTTGTGTCTCAGTTGTCACTGGTGGTTGTGTGACATGTACAATTACCAGAATTAATAACATATGTATCAAGTGGTCTTCAGAAATCCATTAGTAATGTACATGAACTGTCTCAAGGCGACGGAGCTGACAGGCTTGGAGCATCTGCCTCATGGGGGAGGAGGGGATCCTTGGAAGCAGGATAGAGCCTCTGTATCTGAAGCTTTTACATCTTTGGATTCAACCCACGGGAAAGTATTAAAGAAAAAACAATAACAATACCATAATAAAAATAATAGTAATAGTAATAATAATAATACCAGGTTAGGCATTGGTGGCTCATGCCTTTAATCCCAGCACTCAGGAGGCAGAGGCAGGCGGATCTCTGTGAGTTCAAGGCCAGTCTGGTCTACAGAGCAAATTCCAGGGCAACCTCCAAAGAATACAGAGAAACCCTGTCTCAAAAAACCAAAGTAATAATAATAATAATACGATTAATTTTCACTTAGTACCTTGACAACATTTACATGGCACTTCGTATCACATTAGGTATTTTAAGTCCAGAGGTGATCTGAGGTCAACAGGAAGATAAGCATAAACTATATGCAACACTACCCCATTCTATGTAAGGCTCCTAGACCCTGAGGGATGATGGTATAACAATGCTGAACCATGCTGGCATGGCACTCCTGTAAGGTACGTCAAGACTCTCTTTCTTCCTCTCTAGAAAACAAGCCATGATGCCATGTCTTGCTTAGAGGACAAACACTGAAGGCTGGTTTGTTATCTTTTCCAGATGTCACACATGCACAGAGCCTGGGAAAAGTTCTAAGCAAGAGTGAAGGGCACCACAACTGATATGTGTAGGTCAGCAAACTGACCACAGGCTCTTCCCACTACCCTGCTCACTGGAAAGGTGTTAGCAAACAGGGGAACCAACACTACCACAGTACATGCCAACAGTTGGTACCAATTTCTGTGGAATAACAGAGAAACCAGCACAGACTCTCTTGAAGCCAAGCCCTGAATAATGCCAACAATACCACAGTGGCCCCCAAATTAAAGGTTGCAGCCTCTAGTCATGAAATGACTACCCTGGAACTGAGCCAGGATCCTCGGTCCCTCTGAATACTGCCCTACATGCCCTTTGAAAGCCACAGAGGGTGTCAGGCTTTTGCAATCAAACGCTGATGAAGTTATATGAAAACAGAGTAGGGTAGCCGATGTTCAGCCTCAGTGAAGAATATGCAATCTTAGAGTTTCCCAGGGACCCTTGTCCAGAGCCTGGCCCAACTCTGTTCTTCCTTCCTCCAGGGGACATACTCTGCTATTACTTAACTCACAGGACAAGAGCTGCATGAGGCAAAAGGCCTGAACTAGATGATAAAACATGCAGGATGTCTAACTTGTGTGTGGCACAGCCCAGTCTGCATTGAGCCCTCGCAGTCTCAACACTGTAGCTTTGGGGGAGGATTTTCTGTTTCTGCCTTGCATCACACACTTGAAGATGCTATTAGGTGGTGTTTTAAATCATTCACTCCAAAACTCAGCTTCACCCAGCAGCCACCAGGCCAGGACTAAGGAAGTCACGGTTAAAACAAACCCTGTTCTCTATTGTTGATGTCAGTTCTGTTGTTTGAAATGGGATCTTGCTTTGTGACCCAGATTAGCCCCAAAGTCAAGACTCTCATGCCTCAGCTTCCTGGGTGCTGAGATTGCCGCAAGATACCACCATGTCTGACCCACGAAGTGACAATGAGTGGTGGCATGAGCCCCCATTAAAACGCTGTCTCGTGGATGCAGGGGTGGAGAGTCCTGACGTCCACAGTCTGAGAATCAGTAGTCTTGAAGTGCAGACTCAGAAGAGAGATGTCCCAGTTCAGGAAGAGGTGACATCACACCCTTCCATCTGTTTCATTTAGGCCCTGCACAGACTGGGTGACTCCTGTCCAGTGTTGGTGAAGGTGGGTCACCTTTAGTCAGTTACAGACTCAAAGGGTAATCACAAGCAGAGGCCCTCGGCTACATCCAGACACAATGTTTGCCTACTATGTGGTCACTCCTTAGCCCAGTCAAGGTGGCATATAACATTAATCATCATGGGGGCTGCAGAGGGTTTCAGTTCCAGGGACCAATGGCAGGTTGCTCTCAGCCACCTGTAACTTCAGCTCCAAGGGATCCAAAAACCTCTTGTGGCCACCATAGTCACACACACACACACACACACACAATCTTTAAAAATAATCATCATGTACACAATGGAATACCACTTACCTGGGAGAAAACAGAAATACATAACATATAATACACAATACATAATATATCCTGTCATAAAATGACAGGTATTCTATGATTCCTTTTATACGGGGCCCCTGGAGTAATCAAGTCCCTAGAGACACAGAGCAGGATGGTATTGGTAGCAGCTGGAGGAACGTCGGGTGTTTACCAAGCCATGTAATGGGTATAGGGTTCCAGTTCCATGAGAAGCAAACGGTTCTGGATGCTGGACACGAAGGCACTTAACACTACTGAACTATACACCCTTCAAGTGGTGAAGCTGGCTGGGCTTGGAGGCACATGCTTGTACTCCCAGAGCAGGGAGATTATAAACTCTAGTCCATCCAGGCTACACTGCAGGACCCTGCCTATGACTAGATAGATGATAGATAGATAGATAGATAGATAGATAGATAGATAGATAGATAGATAGATAGATAGATAGATAAGTTGAGGTGATGAGTTCCATACCATATGTATTGTACCACCGTTAAAATTTTGTGTAAAGTTTCTGCACTTACTGAAACCCCATCGTTGGGCAGGTTCTGCTTTTTGTTTGGCTGAGTTTTGTTTTTTCTTCAGCTTCAGATCCGTCTGGTGCCAATTTTATTAATGGTAGAATGAAGTTCAAATAAACCTTCCTCCAGAGAAAGGACTAACTTGGGCAAGTTGCCAGGACAAAAGAAAAGGCAAGAATACTTGCGTTGGTGCAGAAGGCGCTGGATAGTGCAGGCAGGCTCACTCTGCAGGTATTCTTGACTCCAGGATTGGACCTTTGGGGAAGGGAGTAGAGCAGACAGGCAGCCTTCAACCACATTACAATCCACAGCATGTATTCCCACTGTCTTTCTGGATTCCTAATGTTTCAATGAGTCACAAAGGTTGACTGGCTATTGGATTTTTAAGAACTTGCAGGGTTTTCCTTATATAGACTGTCCTCAGGAGACCTCTGGATGAATGCTCTCCTCCCTCCTCCCAAATAGCAGCTGCTTCTTAGCATGTGTGTTTACAGAAATACCAGTAGTTATTGCATGTTCCTTGCCATGTGATTAAGCGCTGCCATAAAGCCCTGGCTAGATTAGAAAAACTCTTCTGAGTGGAACCAAACTAGTATCAACAATGGACAGCTTGTGCCACCTACTGGTCAATGATAGTATCACATGCCAGATGCCTATACCTGTCAAGGAGGTAGCTAGAAAGACACCAACACAGGAGTGTGCACAGAGTGGGCACATATACTTGCGTGCATATACATGCTCATGGGCAGAATCATATATTTTGGCATTATATCACATAGTGTATAATCAGACATGGGGATGAGTAGAGTCTACCCCACTATGACTGATAACTTTGATTTATAGCATTGATCATATAGTATTTGCCAAATAGTATCTCCTTCGACCCTCAGAAATAGTGTATGAGCTCAAAGGATGCACATTCACACAACAAGGACATCTGTTTGAACGTGTTCATAGCAGCATTATTTGCAATAGCCAGAACCTGGAAGCAACCTAGATGCCCCTAGTAAGAATGGATACACAATGGAGTACTACTCAGCAGGAAAAAAAAAAAAAACAATGGAATCTTGAAATTTGCAGGCAAATGAATGGAACTAGAAGAAACCATGCTAAGTGAGGTAACCCAGTCACAGAAAGAGAAACATGGTGGGGGGGTCAGTGGTGGGCATGGGAGGATGGGAGGGAGAGGGAGCTGGGATTGATATGTAACATAAGGTTGTTTCTAATTTAAATAAAAAAGAAATAGTGTATGAGAGGCTGGAGAGATGGATCAGTGATTATGAGCACTGACTGCTCTTACAGAGGACCTGGGTCAGTCTCCATCACCCACATGGCAACTTACAACTGTCTGTAATTACAGTTCCAGGGGACCTGACACCCATGGCAAAAATACCAAAACACATAAAAGAAAGGAAGAAAGAGTGTGTGTGACAAGTTCCATTATTCTTACTTTAGAAGTGGGGAGGCTGGGACAGGGAAAGCTCTGCCCATAGGGTTAAATGTCCTTCTAGTACGCCAGTGAATCAGAAGCATCACTGGGTATGTATAGGGAAGATGAACTACAATGAAGTTACTATCTTGTCCCTCCACTTTCAATGTAATTTTATTATTTTAGGCACATGACTGTCTTGCTTGCTTTTTATCTACGCATCACATGCATATGGAATCCAAGGAGAAGATGATGTCAGATCCTTGCAACTGGAGTTAAACTATAGTAAGTGGCCATGAAGGTGCTGGGCACTGAACCCTGACCTTAGGAAGAGGAGTCAGTGCTCTTAACACTAACCCATCTCTCCTGCTCCCCCTGCTCCATTTTTTCAAAGCAAACACACCAATGTAAATATGTCTAGTGTACTCTGAAGAATCCAGAAGATCCTGTTTAAGACACTTAAAGCAGGGGCTGGAGAGATGGCTCAGCAGTTAAGAGCACTGACTGCTCTTCCAGAGGACCTGGGTTCAGTTCCATCGGGCTAACAACTGTCTGTAACTCCAGTTCCAGGGATGCTGATAGCCTCACACAGACACACATGCAGGCAAAACACCAATACACAATGAAATTTTTAATTGTTTTTAAAAAGCCCAAATGGCTGCCAGTGCTTCATCCCAATACAACCCTGACAAGGTCACCACTTTTCAGACCTCACATGGTCCAGCAGGTGGCTGGGCCCTCATTCCCTACCTTGCTCTTGATATCAACAAACATGTGGATAGTTCTCCAACAAAAATCAACTTTACATCATGACAGATGGCTACCACCAAGGATATTCATGCTGAGGCACATCCATAAGCATTTAAGAATAGTGGCAGCAAATACGTAGAATCTCTAAGTGTGACCATGTGAAGCAAGATTACACGTTGTGGAAAAAATTGGCCTGATTTTAAAACAAAACAAAACCACTTTTTAAAAAAATCAGTGGTCCTTTGAGAACCACAGTTGAAAGTCAGGGAAAGAATTAGTCACAATGGCAACACCCCCAAAGACAGCCTCACTTCAAAAACATTCTACACACTGCCTCTTCTCACTCTCCTATCTCTTTTTAGTGGGCCATGGGTAATGGTCAACATCCTCACTTGTCTTTACTGAAGAGAAAGGAATAAGACCCCCAGTCTTACCCCCTTGGCGTAGTTAACAGCATGCCTCCATACAAAGTCAAGGCAGCCGCCTGCTAGTGTGAGGTAGAGCTGGTGACAACTGCTCGGAGCATCATCTTGACTGGAACATGGAACCTGGGATATGGTCCACCTGCAGAGTGTGATCCAGGTCTTCATGGAGGATGGTGCTATTTACTTAGAGACTCCTAAAATTAGGGGTTCACCTGGGGAGAACACAGATTCCCTGTAGCAGAGATTGCAAAATAACGTCCATGTCAATATATTAGGCAATTACATCCAGCAGTGCTGACTAGTGACAATTTTCTTTTAGGATGCTATAGCTGAATGGGATGGACATTGCATTCCCAGGCACCATTCTCATACTTGCAGGAGTGTGTTAAGGAAGGTGTAAGAGTCCTGATCCACAGGACTTGGTAAGGCAGAGCTAATAAAAGTCATATAGATCAATCTCTCCTGTCCTCTCTCTCCCTCTCCCACTCTCCATTCCTCTTCCTTCCTCCCTCCATCTTTCTCTGCATCCCCCTTCTCTGTTCCAGTACCATCAGGAAACCATGAAGGTGTTTCACAAGGAAGACTAGACACAGTGCTGTTTCCTGATCCTGCTGACCCAATGCATCCGCAAACATGGGCACATGGCTTCTTCCTGAAACACAGCTGTCCTAGTTTGCTTTCTGTTGGTGTGATAAAGACCACAGATAAAAGCAACCTGGAGAGGGAGAGGAACAGTTTTATTTAAGCTTACACATCCCAAGTTACAGTCCATTGAGGGAAGCCGGGGCAGGAGCCCGGGGCAGGAGCCCGGGGCAGGAGCCCGGAGGTAGGAGCTATTGGCCAAACATGAAGGATGGATCACTCACCGCTCGCTGGCTTGTTTCTCGTGGACACTCAGCCTGCTCTCTTATACCACCAGGACCAGCTGCCCAGAGATGGCACCACTGGCCCCTCCCACATCAATCATTAATTGAGAAAATGCTCCTCAAACTTGCCTACAGGCCAATGGAGACCTTTTCTCAGGTGACATTTCCTCATCCCAGACATCCTGGCTTGTCTCAAGTTGACAAAAAAAAAAAAATCCAACCAGGACACAAGGGAAAATAAGTGAAGCCAGGAAATGAAAAAAGCAAGTGAGAAACTCCCATGAGAGGACAAGCAACCCACAGGAGAGAATCCAAGGCTACACTCACCTATGTGGCAGCAAGAGGGAGCTGAGGTACAGAGATGTGGTTATGCCAGGAGAGGGTAGCATGGGCAGAGTTGGACAAGTCAGACAAAAGAAGACATAAACATTCAGAGATGTCACAGAGAAAGCAACATCCTGAATGGACATTTAAACCAAAAAGACCCACTGAAAGACCTATGATAAATCTCAAGCTCACCTCAGAAAAGCAGCTATTCCTTCGACAAGGGCTTACTGAATGAATATCTACTGTGTATCAGCCTTGTGGGCCAGAAATACAATATCCAAGTCAGTCTTGACTCTGTGCCCAAGAGGCTCACACCCAAACAGAGGGTGGAAAGAGGCAAACATACAGCCATGCTCTGAGCAGAGTAGAACATTCTAGAAAGGAAGCATGAAGCATGATGGCTCTTGTCATAGAATTGAGTACATCTTGATAGAGATCACAAAAGCACACATGAGACACACACCTGCACAGAACTAAATATAAAAACATAATCCTGTGCATGTGAATCTGGAAAACCCATGTAAGGGTGGTGACCAACTTCCATCTCCCTCGGGTGCTGAACTAGTCATAAAAAGCCTTACCACGAGGAAGAATTGGAGAGGGGAATGGATTATCTCTAGGTATACGTTCTGACAGATGCATAAAACCTTGGTATCAACATAAAAGACTTTAAAGATGATTTGATTATAGCATAATATTAACCAAAGACAAATAACATGACAAAGTAAAATGGTCAGCAAACAGCTCAAGCTCCATACTTACTAGCTAACTCTTTTTTAATGAATTTTTATTTAAATTAAAAACAATCCCAGTTCCTTCTCCCTCCCATCCTCCCATGCCTGCCCCATCCACTCCCCAGGGAGCGTGAAGCCTCCCATGAGAGATCATCATAGTCTGACACATCATTTGGGGCTGAGAGAGTATCCCTACATAAAGAATGGGCTCCCAAAGTCCATTTGTGCACCAGGGATAAGTACTGATTCCACTGCCAGTGGCTCCACAGACTGCCCAGGCCTCCCAACTGACTCCCATGATCAGAGGGCCTGGTTGGGTCCTATGCTGGCCCCCCAGCTGTCAGACTGGGGTCCGTGAGCTCCCACTTGCTCAGGTCAGCTGTTTCTGTGGGTTTCCTCAGCATGGTCTTGACCACTTTGCTCATCGCTCCTTCCTCTCTACACCTGGATTCCAGAAGTTTGGCTCAGTGCTTAACTGTGAATCTCTACGGGATGAAGGCTATAGGAAGGATGGCATTTAAAGTACTCATAAATCTCATTATAGGGGAAGGGCATTTAAGGTAGCCTCTCCACTACTGCTTAGATTCTTAATTGGAATCATCCTTATGGATCCCTGGACACTCCATATTGCTTCTCTCTGCATCTGCTGGTGACTCCTGAGTCCATTCTCTTCTCAGGCACTCTGTTTGGCTCTCCTGACTAACCTTATCCTATTCACCTGTTGGCTTCTTTATTAAACCAATCAGAGTCATACATATTCACAGTATACAGAAGGATTATTCCACAGCATTTCCCCCTTTTAGTGTAATCAAAAAGGAAGTTTTTAACCTTAACATGGTAACAAAATAGTGATTAGATAAGAATTACATTTACAATATCCAGTTCATTTATATTTGGCAAAAGTAGAGAAAATACTCTATTATTTTGTTTATCTTTAAGATTCTAAAGTTTATACCCAATTTACATTTTATTATAAGAAAGGAAAACTTTAACTATGACTATCTAGTCTTCAACTCCGTCAAAGACCCCAGAACAGGGGAATGTTATCTAACAACAGGAGCATCTGGAAGCCTGGAAAGTAAGCCTAGGGTCTTCTGTAAAGTTGAAGCATCCACCTTTGGCCTGAAGGCTTACTATATCTGACAGACACTTCTGAAAATCAGGGAATTTTGAAGGACTTATTACCTTGTTTTGACAAAGTTTGGGTGTAGTCCTTTTGTGTGTCCTGCTGACTCAGTTTGGACAGTGTACTGTCAGAAATTGAAGCAAGGGCAGTTTTGTGGGGACACCAGACCTTGTTCAGAGACCCACTTCCCCATCAGCCTGGGAGTAGGCAGCTGTAAGACAATGTTTACTAAAAACACGTTTACTAAAAACAATACAATGCCCAGGGCAATACGTTCTTGTAAAGGGCTGGCTCACTGGAACCGCCCTGACCTCGACCTTGTCCAAAGATTAACCACCTCTTCTGACACGTCCAGATCAGTTTTGGTGTCGGAGCAGAACCAGCCAGGGGAGAGGAGAGAGCAGAAGCTTTTCTGGAGGGAGGCCTTTCTTGGGAAGTTTTCTTGAGCCTTTTTGGGGCCTGCTTAAAGTTTTCCTTACATCGTTGAACAAGTCTCTGTGTTGTCAATCCCGGACAACCTTGGACGCAGGCTGCGCAGCGGACACGGCACAGTTTCTTTGACCACAAGACTAGTTTTTACCATAAAGAAAAAGGAACTCAATACGGAGTTTCTTCAATGCCCATCATCTTCTCTAAAATAGATTAGTGCTACCAGGAGATGTGTCTCACTGTTATGAAAACCTACATTCTATAGGTCTTTCAAGTGTTTGAAGGCCAACTATCAATCTAAAAATATCTGTGTATCACCTTCAAAACATACCTAATATGTCTTTAAGTTTGACTATTAAAGACAACTATTAATCTGTATTTTAAATTATATATTACATTTTAAATGAGTTTCATAAACGCATAGACCAAACACTAGAAACATACATAGAGAAAACCAAACAATCACTTTAAATTTGTATAAAAAAAAACCAAAATCTAAGGAACGAGGTGAAGACTAAAAAGAAAATAAGAGTGGAATAGGAAAGGAGCACTTGAGTGTCCAGAGGAGACTCCAGCCAATTGTCCCAGATGTCCATGGTCTATTCCTTGGGTGTATTTCTTTAATAGACCAAGGAGTAAGTTCTGGTAGAATAGTGTGAGGTCATCAGAGCCTTCGGAATGTTTGAGTTCACATAGTTACCAGCAGTGCTCTCCTCATACTTGTGAGACTGAGCTCTGGGGAAGCTATGAGAAACCCATGAGGGCCTAGATCTTGAGAGAGTGGAACAGGTACTCACACAGGTGAGTATCACCCAATGCTAAGCTAGACTGAATGTCAGGGCTCAACTATGTTCATTCAGAGAGTCTTGGAGGTGTGTCCAAGATTGCCTGGGAATCTCCAGAAGACAGCTGGTGATATGATGGAATGGAAACAGGATTTAGACTAAGGGAAACAGAGAACGAGAATTAAGGTGAACATGAGAGAGAGTAAAGTGAAAACAAGGGAGGATGTTCAAGAGGAGTCTTGTCTACCAATGACTGCCCTTCAGAGGGAGCCATAGGAAGATGGTGTGGGACACATGGGAAGTATTTTTAAGGAGATTTAATTACCTGTGAATTTATAGTGATTCATAGAGATGGGGAAGGAGGTGATGACAATGAAAACAGGTATGTGAGGTCACCCAGCCTGACTCTACTGGAAACATGTCTGATGCTCAGTAGCCAATCTTCCCATTGGTAAATCCACAGTGGTGCACCCACAGCAAACGACACATACTAGGCAAGTCCAGAAGTCACCTTCTCATGTGTAAAGGAGGTGATCTGTGGTCCGTACCTCACAGACTACCAGACTAACTGAGTCTTCCTTAAGTACTGATTAAATTCTAATTTCATAAGGAATCAAGAATGGTGGGGTATAGCTCCATAGGAAGGCACTTCGTCAGCTTGTGTGAAGTCCTACATTCAAGTGCCATCACACAAAAAAACCTTTCAGCGACCATTGACAATGTAACTACTAGTGCAACTTTATTATTATTATTATTATTATTATTATTATTATTTTGTTTTAGAAGGAAGAGGTTACAGAGAAATAGCCTGTAGTTGGAGACAGACTGAGCCCCGGCTTTGCTTGGGAAACCAAAGAAGACAAGACTCCTTTATGTCTACATCAGTCACCTCAGACTCCATTCCAAGGCTTCAGAACCCAATGAAAGCTCAAAAGAAAAAAGGACTTGGGAAAGTAAAGACAGGTGTGTGTGGCCCTTGGCAATTTCTCTTTGGCACCCAGATGCATGAAGTATGAAACAACATGGGCACTGCACCTAGACCCAACTACCTTGAATCAAGATCTACAGGGGCATGGCATGGGGTGTCCTGGTTAGCCAGGAGGTCACTTCTTGTTTACTTTTTTTTTTTTGCTATGACAGACAGAAGATCAGAAACAACTGCTTCCCCAAAAGTGTCCTGCACAGACAATGATTCATGGAAAGAGGTGCCAGAGGATAGTGTTTGCATGGCAAAAAAAGGTACATAGGGACTCAATTCCAAGCCAAAATTATAGATAAATGCGTATGCGGATTAGGCCATTCTTCATAGATATCATCACCTGTTCCTCAATGTGTATGAGAAAAAAACACTCAGCACTGCCCATTTGGGGGTCTTCTCTTCCTGCAGCTCCACAGGTCAGCAGCATTCATGTTTCCACAGATGCCTCTACAGGGGATGTCCCTGAGCACAGATCCAAGAGGAAGAGGGGACAGAGCAAAAGGAAACTGGAGAATACCATGACTGGTATGTGTATGCATGCCCCTTGATATTCATGTCCCAGTAAGAATGAAACAGCATGTAAACTATCCTTAGTCACTCACTCTTCACAAAATGTCCTAAATCAAGTTCTACAGGGCCATACCAAGAGCTGTCCTGGAGAGCCAGGACATCACATCCTTGATCACTTTTGTAGCTATGGTACATAGAAGATCAATAAGTTCATCTGTCTCCATAGGGCTGTCCTGCAGGCCCTGTGTTTGACAAACAACAGAACACAGTAACTCAATTTCTAGTCTCCTTTATAGATGAATAAAGGCCATCCTCCCAGATTTCTTCACATGTCACAGAGAATTATGAAAGGGAAGAACACAGCAATGTTCTGGTTGTCCCTCTTGTGGTCATGTGAGGTCTTCCTTCCTGCAGATCCAGAAGCCTGCACCATTCTTGCCTCCAGTGATGCTTCTGCAGGGGATGTCCCTGAGCAGCGATCCAAAAGGAAGAGAGTCCAGAAGACAAGCACACTGACAGATGTCAAAGCAGGTATGTGTCCATCATTCCTGGACATTCTGTTCTCTGTCTGAAGAACCAGATGCAGGACAGTGACTACTTGTCACTCTGTCCTCATGAAGTGATCAGTTCCTGAGTAATGGTCAGGACGTTGTCAGTGTTCCCACTGTGGACACATCCATGCTAACTGAGAAGGATTTGTCCCCACAGTTGCCCAGGAGAGCAGTCTGCAGGCCTCAGGTACCTCTGAAGCTACCCCTGAAGCTGCCTCAGAGCTGAAGTTCTTCAGGAGGAGGACCAAGAGGAGCATATGGACTGTGGACCGCATTGAGGGCACAAAACTCATCATAAACAAGAAGAGAAGACTCAGTTACCAGCCTGAGGACCTTGAAGCCTTCTACCGAATTCTGGGTGGGTTCTCTAAACTGATGATTGAATACTTAGGGTCAATACTCAAAATCTAGGAGGAGTTGTGGGGAGCAGTGGTTCAAAGCTCCCCACAGTGCTCATGGGCTGTCAAGTGACATACATGAAGGCCCCCGGGAATATGGGGAAGATCCTTTTGGTGACAAGTCTTCAAAGAGAAGAAACCAGGCTCCTGAATATGGAAGTACGGTGCTTCTACACTCACATATCCCTACCAGCAGTCACGATAGTAGCGACTGGAGAAACAGCAAAGGCCACTGATCCCTGCTTTGGGAGTGCACTAGTGGGGACACACACAAAACCCCAAGCATTTACAAATAAAGCTGCTCCCATCTCTAGATAGCATCACAGGAGGGCATCAGAAGGGCATGGCACCTACAGGGAGGACAGGAAGATGACAGGAGAGGGTTAGGAAACCAGTAAGGCACACAACGTCTCTCTGAGATGAAATCAAGTCATAGATCTGGGACCAAGTGTGGCAGGTAAACTACCTAGCACATGTACCAGTCACAGGAAGCTATTTGCTCTGTTTAAAATGAGCTGAAGAAACCATGTACACATGTGTTCAGTTCCTCCATCACTTCAGCTGAGATTCCAGTGTTCACTGCCTACATGTGGCTCTGGGGAGCCATATTGGATAGCAGAGGAACAGAATGCTTTAAGCACTTGAACACACCATCAGACAGTGCCCTCTGAGGGTCAGGGAAATTGCACAGGACACATCCTGTGCAAGAGTTCTTTGCCTGGGCAGCTGACATGTGGAACTCCAAAGGGCCAAGTCTAAACTGGAAAATGGTGCCTGCAGGAAGGACCTTAAAGACATCAGTGGAGCAGGCAAAGCTGGTCACTACCTCAGAGGCAGAGGATCCAGGAAAGAAGGGAAGGAGGGAGGCTATAAGCATGGAGTTATGAACTCTCCATCTCTGCCCAAGGACTCAGTTACCACACAGAGCAAGGGATCTTGGTAGAGTCCAGATATGGTAAATGGGCAGACTGTGAGGTCATAGAGTTCAAAGGCCACACCTATCATACTGAGTGAAGTAAAGTTTAACATTGAAAGCTATGCTAAATCACTTTGGTGAAGAAAAATATCAAATGTCATCACTGACCAAGCTCAGGAATCGACAACTGCAAACTTCAAAATGCAAAACAACATGAATCTGTCAATGAAAGGACAAACTATGTCCCTGATAGGAAGGGTAACACTTTCTTAAAGAGGTCCTGCTTACTCTCAGGAGCCAGCTCAGGGAGACAGGTCTGAATGCTGCACATTGCTTCTAAACTTTCCCAAATATAGTTCATGTGACCCACCAGATGGGAACTCCAAGTCCTTCTCATGCTTGCTTTCTTTGCAGAGGATCCTGTGGTCCAGAACTTCTTGGCAGCTGACATTTTCTTCAGAGTGACTGACAAGGTACCTGTGAGATCAGATATTCTACAGTCACAGCCCTCATGGAATAGGCAGAAAAGATAAGACTGTTCCAGACCAGGATAACCCAGGGCTGTTCTCAAGGACAGAGGCAGGAGACATAGGCTGCCCATCCTTTTCATATGCCCCAAGTTCCTTCAGGTTTTCCATTCAGCTGACATCCACAAAGAAAATGGACGCCAGCCCCCATTCTATGCATCATTAGATTATATTGTGCAGATGCAGAAGGTCCAGGCCCCACTGAGATTTCTTGCCCCCTTGTCTACTGCCTTCCTTCTCTAACCAGCTCTCTGTCCACACAGTACCTGCTGTCCATGGTGGTGGAGTACTTTGGCCGACTTGGGCTCCCTGGACATCTCTACAACAGGATCCACTTCTTCCTGGCCCTGTGAGCATCTCATGGGAACCATTCTTCCCAATCCCACTCCTAAGGCTTCCTAAGGTGACCCTCAGCCAGAGTAGTGGACACTTTCAGGGGACCATGTAGGAGAGGGAAGAGAGTGTCCTGACATCATGAAAGAAGTTGAGAAGGAAGAAATGGAAGGTTGCTTCTCCTGGCCTGAGTTCTGAGCACACCCTGAACAGACTGCTTCCCCATCCTATCTCTAGAGCTGCCTCTCACTGTCACAGGTAGGGACATGAACTTGCTTTTCTCTGTGGCAGCTATATCGCCTGTGACATGGAAGAGGATGACCCCACATCCAGGAGGAGCATCTTTCAATTCTTGCTGGGCAGAGACACATGGCAAGACTTGTACAAGGACTTCCAAAGGTTGCAGAAGGAGTTCCTCCAAGTCATAGATTACCAAGCATTGCTCACGAGACAAGAGTGTGAAGAGGTCTGCCAGGGTTCAGTCAGGGCAATGGGTAGACACAGATCAGCCAGGAGAATGGGTGGATCAAGGTCATGCCCAGAGAAGAACAAGCATGGGCCCATCCTACTGGACTCACCTCTCATTTCCCTTTCAGATCCAGAACCAGGACCCACACCACTGGGTCTGGAGCCGGGTGCGCCAGAGCGCCCCTTAGGCTCTCAGGCCTGGGAACCATCAGCAGGGTCATGGAGCATGGGGCTGCACGTGAGCCAGGTGAGCAGAGGGCCTGGCCAGGGGCTCCACATGCGTGGGCTATCTCTCTCCTTGAGTCCCCGAAACAGTAATCGGGGCTGTGTAGACATGGGAGCAAGCTCTGCTGTCCAGATCTGGAGTTGCCTCTTGGATGGGAGCATATGGGATGTGAGCTCTGCCGAGGTACAGAAGAGTTTAAATCCCAGTTCTTCCACTGGATTGGAGCAAACCACCATGCAATCCACAACACAAGGCTTCAATCTGCATGCCTTTGTTGTTGTTTCTTTTGTAAACTCTCAGAAAAAGTTTTAAACTCACATTGTCTAGGCAACAACTCCTGTGTGAACTCAGGTGACGTTTTAAAATGTATCTAGATGTAAAACAATGGAGAATCAGCACTGGGAATTGACTCTCACTGTGTGTCTCTTGGGAGAGAAGGGAAATTCCAGTGTCTACCACGAGGTTTTATATGTTTACTCCCACATGAAGTGAGGTTCCCTGAGCTGGGCCCCTGAAGGACATGATCAGTCACATTTCCATGGGCAAATGAAGTCATGGTATCTCTAGTCTCTGGAAACAGGGAAATTGCTGGGAAGTAAAAGGATGGAGTGGGTAGGGAATTCTGTGAGAACGTCATAATCAGGACACAGCCAGAAACAACCCTGTCTGGCACCACACTCCTAAACTCACTTTGGTTGCTTGTAATATCTTTTTCTGTTTGGATTTACAAAGTGGGATGAAACCTCTAGTGAAATGCTAAGGGTCTCTACATCTTGGCATATGGGTGTGGTAAAAATAACTCACTAAATATCCTTCCATGCTGCAGGGTGTGACAGAACTCCATCTGTCTCAGGGGTCAAGAGTGTTGGTGAATGAGTTATAAGATATACCCATTTGAGCTGAGCAGTGGTAGCACAAGCCTTTTATCCTAACAACACTTTCTTTCTGTCCTTGTACAGCTCCTGCCCACCCCTGCCATTTCCTCCCTCACCAAGAAACCAGAGCTTTTCCTCATGGTACAAGCACTTGCAGAATCCAACATCCATCCCTTCAGGATAAAGAATCCAGGGAGAGGATGTGTTCCAGCAATGTGACGAGGGAAACCAGTGCAGTCAGTGAACCTCAGCCTTCACAGATGGCAGCCTACAAAGGCCCTTGACAATCCTTCATTGGATTCCATAACAGCTTGGAGGGTTCCAAAAAAAAAAAACATATCCAGCAACTAAGGACAGGGAGCTGTGATGTCACACCAAGTTCAGGAGCCCTGGACCAGTGGAGGAAGAACTTAAGAAGTCACTGCCCCTCTGGGGTACAGCAGGGTACCTGGAAAGGAGGAGTGACTGAAATCAGAGCATGAGGTCAGGCCTGCGTACTGGCCATAAGCAATGTCCTTGGAAATCCTGTCAGAGACCCTCCTCAATAGTCTACTGAATATAATGATGTAGAGACCTGATGTCATTATCAAAGTAGGATAAGAGAAAAGGGGATCCTATGAATGCAGGCTGTTACCACAGGGAAACAACACAGCTTGCCAATGAGAGAGACAAGGAGGAGAAAAGGGTGAGGAAGAGGTGAGGGGATGAGGGTCTATAGGTCACCCCAACAAGTGGAACAAGAGGGTGATAGCTATGGAACAGGAAAGATGGACTCAGGGAAGACAAATAGTCAGATCCCAGCATCACAGCGAAGATTACAGACTTGACAACTGCAAGTCAGACAGGATTTAAAAAGAGATAGAACATATATTCAGCATACAGCTGACGTTATTCATACTATTTTGCTTATATTGTTTTGGTTATACTGTTTTCACTCATTTTTGTTATTATTATATTTTGATCATAATTTTTCATTACAATATTTGTTTGAAATTCTTTCATTACAAAATTATAGTTATATATGCTTGGTTATAATGTTTTCATTGCATTTGGTATTCTATCAGTTTTTAGAGATATTACTTTTGTTTTATCATCTTGTTTATAATATTTCTATTATATACCTATTATGTTAATCTGGTTACATTATTTGAGTCATACTGTTTTTGTTATATTATTGATAGTATTTAGGATATGTTATTTTGCTTGTATTTTTTATAATACTTTGGCTGTAACAATTCCTCATATTATTTTGTTAATAATTTGCATATATAAAAAAATAATAATAATTTGGGTATATTATTTTCATTGTAATGGTTTGGTTATGTTATTTTTGTTTGATTATTTTGATTGTAATAATTTTGTTATATTATCTAAATTACATTACATATTACATTTTTTATTTTCATTAAAATTTTATCACCTTTCAGTAATATTATCTTGGTGATGCTTTTTTGGTTGTAGTGTTTGGTTCTAACATCAAATGGCTTATATTAGTGTTACAACAGTATTTGTATTAATAAAAATGAATTATTGGTTAAATGGACTCTGAACTGCTCACAAAGCAAAATTCAGCTCCTGACTATTTGAGAGAATCTAAAGTGATCCTGAGGTGCTAAAATTAAGGCTTGAGGAAGGGGGCTGGCAGGTGCGCACCCCAAGACAACTAGGATACACATCTGGATTGCAAAGGAAAGAATCCATTCAGAACTCCACCAGAGATTGCAAAGGACACATGGACAGAAGATCAGCAAATACATCGCCTGTCCCGCAGTCTTTCCTAGCTTTCTCCCTCATGTCTGCAGCCAGACTCCTCAGGAGGTCTCCTCCAATCAAATCCAATCTTACTAATTTTGAAGGAATCCATAGCTATTTGTTTTCAGTGGAAACAAAAGCACAGCCTCTCCCCCAATGCAACACATTTCCTGACTTCCATTCTGAAGCCAAGGCACCCTAAAGTATAGTTTGTTTACTTCAGCAGTCCCTTCCATAATCCAATGCCTCTCAACAGCTGTCATTCTTTTTCATTATCACTCAGAAAATTCAAAATTAATACAGTACCATATAAGGTCCAAACAACCTGTTTCCTATCCTTATGTGGCTATTGTTTTATTACTTCACTCTCTATATCCATTTTCTTTTCATTGTTTAGCATCAAGCACCTATTTAGGCATATTGTACCTTTGTAGAAGATTATGTCAGGACCTGCCTTTCTGTGTGTCTGCAGCACTCTGAATGTGAGAGCTGAGTTAAAGGGCAGTCTGCCCACCTGATGGTTCCATGTCGGCAGCTGGCTCAAGCCGGCAGTCAGAAGCCCTAGTGGTGCCTCTGCTCAATGAACATCTCAGTACACTGAGCATCAGGCCACCTGAGAGACTGGAGGACTAGGCAGCCATGTCGAGTTCCATGTCCAGAACTTTTGTTACAATTCAAAGGCTCTATGTTTTGATATTCAAGCCTTTACGTTGGACACTATATGTAGTAGTACTTTTTCGGTGGGACTGCCAGCCCACAAAAAAATGACTCAGAGACTTATTATTAATTATGATTCACAGCCTCAGCTTAGGCTTGATCCTAACTAGTTCTTAGAACTTAAATTAACCCATATTATTTTTTATCTACATTCTTCTACCAGGCTCATTACCTCATCTCCATACTGTCCATCCTGCTTCTACTGCTTCTGGATGGCCACTTCGCCTTTCTGCTTCCCAGAGTTCTCTCTCTGCCCAGGAGTCCTGCCTATACTCTTCTTCTACTGCTTCTGGATGGCCACTTTGCCTTTCTGCTCCCAGAGTTCTCTCTCTGCCCAGGAGTCATGCCTATACTCTTCTTCTACTGCTTCTGGATAGCCACTTCGCCTTTCTGCCTCCCAGAGTTTTCTCTCTCTGCCCAGGAGTCATGCCTATACTCTTCTTCTACTGCTTCTGGATGGCCACTTCGCCTTTCTGCTTCCCAGAGTTCTCTCTCTGCCCAGGAGTCATGCCTATACTCTTCTGTCTAGCTATTGGCCATTCAGCTTTTTATTATGCCAATCACAGCAATACATCTTCACATGATGTAAAAATATCCAAAAACACCACATAACTATGTTCTTTTAATTTTTAACAGATGTACCAAAATACACATTGGAGAAAAGACAAGCTCTTGAACAAATGATACTGGGAAAACCAGCTATCTATACAAAGAAGAATGAGACTTAGCTACGTATCATTCACCCTGCACCAAAGTCAACTAGAAATCTGTAACATAAGACCTGAAAATGTGTAATATAAGAGTAACAAGCAGAAGAACCTTTCAAGATACAGGCATAGGTAAGGAGCTACTACTCATGACTCTAAATGCCAGTGAAGAAGGCCAACAATCAAGGAAGCTCAGGAAGTTACAGAGCTCATAGAGAAAAGCAACTATTAAGTGCAGAGACAGCATGCAGAGTGGGAAAAATCTTTGCACACTGTACATCTGACAGAGGTTTAACCAGAATATACAAAGAACTCAGTAAAACAAGAAAATAACTCAATTGGAGTATGTGTGTTTATAAGAAAATAATTATCGAAGAGGACAATTCAAGAAGTGGGGAAGGACATGGAGCTGAAGGAAGGGAGGGGTGGAAATGATGTAAATATAGTATACTTACAGAACACACTTAAAAATTTGAAATAAATGGGCTAAGAAACAGAATCCATAATGAAAGAAAAATAACTGGCCAATAAATATTTGTTTAAGTGTTTAACGTTGGAGCCTTCAGGAAAATGCAAATTAAACTACTTTGTGTGGCTGAATTTATGTTGAGGTCTTTGATCCATTTGGACTTAAGTTTTGTGCATGGGGATAGACATGGATCTATCTGCATTCTTCTACATGCCAGCATCCAGTTATGCCAGCACCATTTGTTAAAGATGCTTTCTTTTTTCCATTGTATATTTTTAGCTTCTTTGTCGAAGATCAGATGTTCATACATGTATGGGTTAATATCAGGGTATTCAATTCAATTCCATTGTCTACCTGTGTATTGGTATCCTTGAACAAATTGGTACAGGAGACCACTTCCTGAACATAACACCAGTAACACAGACACTGAGATCGACAATTAATAAATGGGACCTCCTGAAACTGAGAAGCTTCTGTAAGGCAAAGGACACAGTCATCAAAACAAAAAGGCAGCCCACAGAATGGGAAAAGATATTCACTAACCCCACATCTGACAGAGGGCTGATCTCCAAAATTTACAAAGAACTCAAGAAGCAAGTCTCCAAAACACCAAAGGATCCAATTAAAAGGTGGGGTACAGAACTAAATAGAGAATTCTCAATAAAGGAGTCTAAAATGGCTGAGAGGCACTTGAGAAAGTGCTCAACATCTTTAGCCATTAGGGAAATGCAAATCAAAACAACTCTGAGATACCATCTTACTCCTGTCAGAATGGCTAAAATCAAAAACACCAATGACAATTTATGCTGGAGAGTTTGTGGTGAAAGGGGAACACTCCTCCACTGCTGGTGGGAGTGTCAACTTGTACAGCTACTTTGGAAATCAGTATGGAGATTCCTCAGAAAAATGGGAATAAACCTACCACAAGACCCAGCAACTCCACTCTTAGGCATATATACAAAAGATGCCCACTCATACAAGGATGTCTGTTCCACTATGTTCATAGCAGCATTATTTGTAGTAGCCAGAACTTGGAAACAACCTAGATGCCCCTCAACCAAAGAGAGGATAGAGAAAATGTGGTACATTTACACAATGAAGTACTATTCAGCAGAAAAAAAACCTGGAATCCTGAAATTTGCAGGCAAATGGATGGCACTAGAAGAAACCATCCTGAGTGAGGTAACCCAGTCACAAAAAGACAAACATGACATGTACTCTCTCATATATGGATTTTAGACATATATCTGGGGAGTGCCAGCCTACAATTCCATGGCCAGGGAGTCTGGAACACAGAACCTTCATTCAGTGGCTGATGGAGGCAGAGGCAGACTCCCACAGCTAAACACTGAGCTGAACTCAAGAAATCCAGTGACAGAGAGGGAGGACTGATGAGCAAAGGGGTTAAGACTGGGATGGTTTAACCCCCAGAAACAGCTGACCTGACAAGGGTTAGCTCCTGAATCCCAGATTTATGGCTGGGAATTCAGCATGGGACTGGTCAAGACCCCCTGAATGTGGGTGTCAGTGAGGAGGCCTAGGTAATCTATTGAGCCTTGGGTAGTAGATCAGTATGTATCCCGGGTATACAAATGGACTTTGGACTCCCATCCAACAATGTGAGGTGCACTCTTACCCTGGACACTTGGGGAAAGGTCTAGGCCCTGCCCTGGATGAAATGACAGACTATGGACACCCCCATGGAGGGCCTCACCCTCCCTGGGGAAATGAGGGGATATTGGAGGGGTTGGTGGGAGGGCATGGGAGGAGGGGAGGGAAAGGGAGACGGACCTGGAATTGACATGTGAAGCAACCTTGTTTCTAATTTAAATTTAAAAATAAAAATTATAAAATAAAAAAACAGATGACCTTTATAACAGTAAAAAAACTACTTTGTGAATCCATCTCAATCTATTTGGATTGGCCATCATGAAATAAACAACATTGGTGAGGATGTGAAGAAAGCAGAACACTTATCCACTGCTTATGGGAGTGTGTCTCAATAAGGGTTTCTATTGCTGTGAAGAGTTATCATGACCATGGCAACTCATAAAGGAAACCATTTAATTGGGTGCTGGATTATACTGCAGATCTTAGACCATTGTCATCATGGCGGAGAGCATGGTGGAGCGCAGGCAGACATGGTGCTGGACAGAGACTGACAGTTTTACATCTGGATTGGCAGTCAGCAGGAAGAGAGAGTGATACTGAGGCTGGCTTTAGCATCTGAGACCGCAAAGCCTGCTC